GGAGAAAGATACTCCAAGCAAACAGACTTAGGAAATGAGCAAGTGTCACTGTTCTAGTATCTAACTGCTATCAAACAGCCTTCTAAATATTTACAGTTATACCCATAGATTACTGCTGCTCTCCGCCTTGGCAAGGGGGCTTCCTTCTGCAGTGCATGCAGTTCATAACTGGTCAAAGTGCTGGAAAGAATGACCGCTGAGTGTTGGGCCCTAAATGGACACCCATACCCCCACCACCACCATCACCAAAGCTCAGGGAACACACTGCCAAAGAAAAGGCAGAAAGAACGTAAGAGCCAAGGATGGGAAGGATGCTGTGCAATGCTGTCTCTGGGCACAACATGGCCACTGCACTCATGAACTCACTGTAGCTGTGGTAACTACACAAGACCTGAATAAGATCAAGCCAACAAAGACCAGTCAGCATTCCAGCAGGCTGGCACTAACTGGACTCAGTGATTTATGTGGAGAGAGAGACAGAGAGAACATGAAGACATGAAATCTGGAGAGGACATGCTGGGGGTGTTCGGGGGGGGGGGGTTGGGGGCAGATATGATCAAGATACACTGTATACATACATGTATCAAGCTGTCAAGAAATAAAAAAAGTACCCATGTAGCATGTTTCATGACCTGATTTCTTTTTTTTTCTTTTTGAGACAGGGTCTCCCTGTAGCCCCAGCTGTCCTGGAACTATGTAGACCAGGCTGGCCTCGAACTCACAGAGATCCGCCTGCCTCTGCCTCCCAAGTGCTGGGATTAAAGACATACACCACCACACCCGGCTATTGCTTCTATTTGTATGTATTTGTCCACATGCCACAGCACACATATGGAGGTCAGAGGACAACTCGCAAGAGTTGGTTCTCTCCTTCCACTATGCAAGTCCCAGGAGTCAAACTCAGGTCATCAGGCTTATCAGCAAGTGCCTTTACACTTGTCCCATCTCATCAGACTGAGCTTCTTTTTGTTTAATCTTTAAAATAATAGTTTACCTAGTAAACCTCTTATTCAAATACTTTATTATTCTCTAAATATGAGGCTAAAAAATTTATGGTCACTATTTTGGCCTATTTACCAAACACATAGCACTTCTCAAAGTTTCCATGGTGTTTCATTATGATAAAGATTCCAATGGTGAAAGCAAAATATCAATAGTAGAAACTGGATTTTTATACTAGTAAGTAAAATTAGGGGAAAAAAAACACTCCCATCTTCCATCCAAATTAACCTTTCTATTACCCTAGAGTATAATACACATTCTTATTTTTCTTCCTGTCTTATATTATTCTAGGTCTGTTCATCTTTTCAAAATATTTATGAAAAACTTGTGTCTCAGTCCATTTTAAATGTGTGTGAATTTTTTTTTTTTTTTTTTTTTTTTTTTTTTTTTTTTTAGGGTCTTCCTGTAGCTCCAGCTGACCTGGAACTCAGAGAGATCTGCCTGCCTCTGCCTCCAGTGTGCTGGGATTAAAGGCATGTGAGACCAGGACCAGCCTTTAAATGTGTGAATTTTAAATGCAGATTCAATTAATACTACTTATATCTAAAGAATTTTAAAGTACTTTCAAGGCCAGGCATAGTGATGTGTATCTGTTATCAAGGTACCTAGGTAATGTAGGTAATGCAGTACCTAGGTAATGCAGACCAGTCTGAGCTACATTAGTGTGTTCCAAGCCAGCCTGGGCTACCTAATGAAACCCTGTCTCAAAGGGAGGGAGGGGATGGAAGGAGGAAGAAGAGGAAAGTGCGCAAGTGTATGGACATATTAAAGAAAATGTACAGGTTATTTTCTTCCACATATGACAGCTATCAGTGCCTTTTTGCCTGATTACCAAAAGTCTAAAATGAGCCAAGAAATTGCTCATATTTTACTAAAAATTTTAAGTCCAAGTTACAGGGAACAAATTGTTTTAATCCTAAAAGGCACAGTATCTACTATATAAAGAACTTCTGAGCTCTATAAACAGAGCAATCTTCAACCATCTCCAAGGTAGCAAGTTTTCCCAGTGAGATGGTCTTTGTAAAACAATTACTGACTCTCAATGACAATATGAGAACAGGCAGAACTGCCTGTTCTAAGCACTAGCACATCTGAACTGTTCACGTCCCTTGGCTCCTCCTTCTACTGTGCCCTCAAAGAAAGAGCTCAGAGTGGCCCTATTCACCAAGCCCTGGTGACTGGTGTCCTGACTGGACAACGCTGGGCAGCAAATGTTAAAGCCTGAGTCACTGGAGAAAGCAGCAAGCCTGAAGGAACTCCCTCCACCTCCTGGTGTCAGAATAATTCTGCTGAAAGGCTCCTCTGCAAGGGCCTGGGTGTGGGTCCTGGTTGGCTGATTTTAAAGATCTACAGCTTCCAGAGTGCTGTGCTGTACAACATTTCTTAGAGAACACACCTTATTTTCATGAAGGGAAAAGACAAAAATATCTCCTCCTTCCTGACGTTCATGCTATCCACATCTCTCTAGTCTTCCCAGCTGATTCCCAGTGGCTCCTGCCACTACTGTGGCCAGCCGGACTACGTCTCCTGACAGGTGTTCTCTATCTCCAGATTTGGCAACACTACACAAACACATATAAACTGCTTTTGTCCAGACACAGAGTTATGGCCACACACCCAGCCACTCAAGATCAACCAATAGCCTTTCATAGCAAAGGTGATCACAGTCAGTCCCAGTTCAAAGTTCTTTATTATTTCCCCACTGCACTCTTACATCCAAGTCCAACAGCCTCAGCATTACCCACAGAAGACCTGCTATCACATTCTACCCAAGGGCCACTGCACTCCTCAAATGCACAAACCTCTCACTTCTTGGCCTTTGCCCAGGTCGTTCCCTCCAGCCGAAACACTCCTCCCTGTTTCCAGCCTCTCCTCCTCCCCCATCTTACAGATCTATGGCCAGTGTCACTTTCTCCAGGATTTACTTCTCTAGGCCTCACACTCCTGAGGATGAAACAGGACTGTCTCGACCACACTAACTCTATCAGAGGCACTCAAATCTTGATTGAACGCATTCTAGGTTTACCTACTGAACACAATATGAATGCAGCCCATGCAAAAGGGAAATATGGCTGATCAGGTATGCCATGATGAAAAGACAGCAACAATCCAGTTTTTCTGATATGCTCCAAACTACACAGGTGTCTGTAATCACCCTTAGGAAAGGTTACAACTTTTACCTGGTAACTCTTAGCTCTACTTCTGTTAGGAGACCCCAAGTTCAAAAGCACCAGAGTGAAAGTATTAATAAAGGAATCCTGGGTGCTTTAGGTCTAGACTTGCTGTGCACTACTCCTACCAGTGTCTTACCCTTATCCGAACCCCACTGGCTAAAGCTAAGTGGGTTTTCTCTAGTTTCCAGACCTTGATCAAAGGATTCCTTACACTCATACTAGTCCCAAGACATAAACCCTGAAGCAGACCTCTGCTGCATCCTGAGCATTACAGCAGCTGCACTGGATGCTACTTTCTTTAGGCCACAGACTTATACAATCTAGGGGTTCTGACACTAGATTTTTCCAGAGTGATGTCATAAAGGAGATGGCACTAAGCACTCAGAACTCACCCACTCCACCCTGCACTCCCTGCATGAAGGGGCAAGTTATCCATGCTCTGTAAGCCTCAATTGCCCCATCCAGTAATAAAGAGATAATGGTTCCTACCACGTAAATTCCTGTGGGAGGTAGACTGCCCATGAAACCACTTCACAGACAACCCAACAATTCTTTTCAAATTAAAAATGAAGACTAACCCTACAATATTTTCACATCTTAAGGATTTTTGTTAATACCACAGCTTATTTTTGGCTGAAGCTCTCCCACTGAGAAATTTTTGAAAATGAGATGAGAACCCAAGGGTTCCCTTTACAATCTCAGAACTGGAAATTTTCCACAGAAATAAACATTAAGATCCACTTTCTGCACTCTTAAAAAGCATATGCCTAATTTCTATATTAACTATTAATAAAGGATGGAATAGCCATCTCCCAATATGTTTTCACTAGAAACCTTCCTGCCTTCATGCATCTCCCATACAGTTAAAAAAAAAAAAAAAAAAAAAGACTGAATCAAAAAAGTTCAATCTTCAAAGTCTCCAGTTTCCTTACAACAGAACTAGTCATGTGGTTTTAGGGAAGGCACCTGTTAGGTAGCAAATCTATAAAACCCAAAGTGCTACAAGGGCAACTTAAACTGGAGGAGGAGGGAGGCTGCCATCTCATAATTACTTTTGCCCTAATAAAGAATAGCCAAGTAATTGTACATTCTGCACTATGACCATTTTTCTCTTATTTTTAATAGGGAGAGAGGAATTTGAGAGTTGATGGGAAAACTGCCTCTCACATTCCACAAGACTTGAGGTTTTTGTTTTGTTTTTAAGGAGGAAATTTTTTTACAAGACTCCCTGAAATGTGTTTTTAAATAAAAGTAAGACCACAATCGTTTTATTAACTTTATCCCCAAGCTGTTTCTGAAAGCAGAATATGTACAAACGGGTGACATGCCAACAAGCTTCCTAAAAGCAAATGGGGACTGGGATAGCATTTAGGAAGTGATGATGCAAGTCTCTGGGGAGTGCAGGGGGGGGGGGTTAAGTCAGAGGAAATACCCTCTTTATGGCTAGGCACCAACTCATACCAAGTTGGGGGGGTTGGCCTCCACCCGGCCTAGGGAAGGGGGGGCAGCCCAGCCCCCCACCCGGGAGGTGCCAGCGCCGCCGCCTCATCCCCTTCCTCCTCCCCGTCGCCCCAGGTCAGCCCCAAACCAACGAGACCCCCGCCCCTCCCGGGAGGAGGAGTGGACAGGGCAGCCCCGGGCAGAGCCTCCCCGGCCCGCAACCTCCTGTCAGGCCGCTGCCCATAGGCCCGGCTCGGGGTGCGGAGGTCCAGAGGCCCGGCTCGGGGTGCGGAGGTCCAACTTCCCGGGGGGACGGGGAGGGGGGGTCCCCGAGGCCCACCGCCCAGGCCCGCGCCCCCGCCCCCCACCCGGCCCGACACTTACCCCCAGAAGCCGCAGGGACAGCGAGGCGGCAGGCTGGGCGCTTTGCTGCGCTCGCTCCCGGCGTCTCCCATGGTGCTCGGCGGCGGCGGAGCTCCGAGACGGCGGCGGCGGCAGCGGTGGCGGCGGCTGGGCCTGGGCCCCGCTCGAAGGAATCCGCGGCGGTAGCGGCGGCGGCGGGGGGA